GAGAGAGAGAGAGAGAGAGAGAGAGAGAGAGAGAGAGAGATCAGATATCAACTCATGGCAGTCAGTTCTCTCCTTCGGTTACCTGGATAAGTGTCCCATGTCTGATTCCTTGTATTGCCACCCATCTTGAGACCCCATCCTCATCCGGAGCTGGACTGAAGCACTATGCAGATGAAGTTATATGGCTGTATATTAAATATTAAATGAAAAACCAAAACACAAATTAGATGCATATTAATCTAAGGAGTATCATTGCAATCATACCATTTTACAGATGAAGAAAGAGACTTCCTTATGAAAGTAATTAAGCAGAGGAGCCAGGGTTGGCTGCTTTCAGGACCCATGTGCTTACAAGGTTATGACAGTAACAAGAAAGAACAGATGAAATGACAGGTTTGCCCTTCTAGGAAATGCTTTGGGCCTGACGACTGACATCATTTCTTTCCCTCTAGGGAACTCTTAAAGCCACTACAAATATTTACCTGGTTGAATAGAAACAAGGTGAGATAAGAAATAAAGTTCAGTGGGGGCCTGGCCACATTTGAGCTCGCATCTCATGTCTTCAGTCACCAGTGTGCTACCATGGGAGGTCACCAGGGAAAAGGCTTCAGTGGACTGTTTTCATTCCCTTTGGGATACAATGGCTTTACTGTTATTAGTAACAGAGGTGGCCAGGCAATTATAGACTTGAGCTGGGTAACCACATCTCCTATTTTAAAGTTTAATCAGATCACCTCTAGGGTCAAGGACTCATATAGCCACCATAGCAGTTCCATTCTGTCTCTCGTCATCATTTGAGGACTGGAGTTCCTCTGCAATGATGCTTATCTCTGCTATGCAGTGTGCATGTATGTGCACACATGTGTACCATTTACTCTCACGCATATGCAAGTTGCTCCAAAGCTCAGTCTCTTAAGAATTTGACTGACCCTGCCTCCCACTCATTTACCTGGTAGCTGCTTTGTTTGCCAAAATGGAGGTGGGTTGAGATGCTTTGGTCCTGCTTTGAGTTCTGCTGCAGTTCCCTCTGCAATGCCAAGGCTGCTTGCTGCTCACTTGTGAAAGTAGGCCAATCTCACAATAGTTGTTCTGCCAGCTGAGAGCTCCCTAAAGCAAAAATTCTATTAGCATTTGGGTTTTCATACTTAAATGGTGTCTAGCACACAATAGGAACTCAATAAACACCAGAGTGAATGACAGATCGGGTTTCCTACTTCAGTGTAGCATGAGTCCATAGAACCATCACTTAGAGAATTGGATGAACTCCAGGAAGCATCCTATGTTTCTCTACCCAGCACTGACATACCAACACAAACACTTCCTAGGGTGTAGAACATTACAGGGAGATGCCTTGGGATTTTCCTCTTCTTCAGCAGAATTGATGGTTTGAGTGAAGAAAAAGGTAGCTGAGATATCAGTGATGTACTAGTTTTACCTGAGCAAGATTTGCCTTTTAACCACACACACAACCATGCTGAGGAACTGGCCACTTACAACACTGTGTCCATGCCTCTATGCTCAGTTCCCCTCTGAGGGACAAGCTGAAGAAAGGCCATTTATTATCAGTGACTGATGCTATACCTACCAGTCTTCCCAGATGTGGAATAGAACATTCCAGCATTCTGGGTAGATGGGTTTGTTTGTTTCCATGTTGTCTTAGTTAGGGTTTCTATTGCTGTGAAGAGACACAATGACCATGGCAATTCTTACAAAAGAAAACATTTAACTGGGGCTAGCCTACAGTTTGGAGGTTTAGTCCATTCTCATCGTGGCGGGGAGCATGGTGGTATACAGGCAGACATGGTGCTGGCTACATCTTGATCAGAAGGCAACAGGAAAATGGTCTGTGTATTCACACTGAGTGAATCTTGAACATACAAGAGACCTCTAAGCCCACCTCCACAGAGACACACTTCCTCCAACAAAGGGCACACCTACTTCGATGAAGCCACACCTCCTAAGAGGGCTACTCCCTTTGGGGGCCATTTTCTTTCAAACCACCTCTCGTGTGTATCAGAGTTCTTTCTCTGGGCAATAGAAGCAGCTGGGCACTGATGGTGATGACTTCAGGGAGCAGAGAAGAAGCATTTCGCTGGATTCACCACCACAGCTGCTAGATGCCCTTGCCTCTGGGAACTCTGGCACCAGGATGAAGTTTAAAATGTCCCTTTATTGACCAGCGGAAGTGGCACACGACTTTAATCCCAGCACTCGGGAGGCAGAGGCAGGCAGATCTCTGTGAGTTCGAGGTCAGCCTGGTCTAGAGAGCGAGTTCCAGGACAGGGTCCAAAGCAATACAGAGAAACCCTGTCTCAACAAAAACAAAACAAAACAAAGTCCATTTATTTATTTATTTATTTATTTATTTATTTATTTAGTCCCTGGATCAAGAATTCAAGTTTCAAATAGGAACGTTTGATTAACTATCTCTAGCTGTCAGGGATTAAAAGGCCAAATATGCTCCCTTATGCTCCACAGGGGGAGGGAATATCTCAAGATTCACATAGGAGGGGAGGTTTGCACATGCCTTGTTATAGGAAAAATGTCAGGCATCCACGACATCACAGCTCCACAGAGCAGCCTCTGAGAACTTTGATGATGTATTATTTCTTTCAAAGGGAGTAAAACTCAGTCTCTCATAAACCCCATGGGGCAGACTTCAGATTAATGTGCATTGGCTTGGTAGGAATTCTCATGTAAAGGCTGGAAAAATTACCAGCCAAAATTAAAATGTAAATACCCGTGATGTTTTAGAGGTTGTGGTTGGACACAGCATGCTACTGGCACTCCTCAATATTCCTGCTGACAGCACAGATGAATCCAGGGAACTCAGCTCTATCAACCTCCTCCCCGTCAAACGTCCAAGACAATGTCACACTTGGCTCCTTCCTGATTTGCTAGGATCTAACTCCAGACCTAAAGGAGCACCTCAGTGATGTAGCCAGCACAGCTTCTGGCTGAAGGGGGGCTGGAGGCTGAGTAGAGGAAGAAGAGCAACCATGAACAGAGGGGACAACTTTCCATGGTCCATAAAGAGGCTCCTAGGGCAATAAGTAGAAACGAGGTCAGCCAGGTGCTGACCTGACTCAAGAGGACAAAGGCAGGCAAGGTCACAGCAGGACATTTTCTCATTCCACGAACAGTACCAGGAACTCTACAGACAGAAATCATATTTAAGTTTACTCCCAGGAACCTAATTCTGAGGTGTAGTGATAGAGAAAAAGCCAGCATGCTTCCTCTCCTCTTTCATAGTCATCAGAACCTCTGACAAATGAGAGAGGGGGATGCTTCTACACAAGCAAGGCAACTCTGGAGAAGACACTGTCCTCTAATTCATCTCAGGTCTGCTGCCAATGCCATAACCCTGAAGGTAGCATTCAATCCCACAGGGTAAGGCCTCGGACCACAAGCCTTGCTTCAGATGCCAGTCACAATCAGTGCGGTCTTTACATCTAACCAACTGACTACAGATTGAGTTTCCCATGATGCTCTCGTGGAGTTTGACTAATGTGATGGTTAATTTGATTGTGAACTTGATGGGATCTAGAATTATCTAGAAGACAAACCTCTGGACATGTGTGCTATGTGTGAGTTTCTGGATTAGGTTAGTTGAAGTGGTGAAGTCGACCCTAAGTGTGGGTAACACCATTCCATGGGCTATAGTTCCAGACTACATAAAGAGGATGTCTTAGGATTTACTCTGGCTGTGAAGAAACACATGACCGCAGCAACTCTTCTGAAGAAAGTGTTTAATTGAAGATGGACTCACTTATAGTTTCTGAGGTTCAGTCCATTATGGTCATGAAGGGGAGCATGGCAGCATACAGGCAGATGTAGCACTGGAGCTGAGAATGCTACATCTTCAAGCAACAGGAAGTCAACTGACTGTCACACTGAGTGAAGCTTGAGAGAAAAGAGACCTCAAAGCCCACCCCCACAGAGATTCACTTCCTCCAACAAGGCCACATTTCCTAATAGTAGCTCTCTTTTGGGGGCCCATTTTCTTTCAAATCACCTCAGGGGAGAAACTCCATTAACAGTAGCATCACTCATTGCTTCTTCCCTGGATTCTGTGACCAGCTGCCTCCGAATCCCACTGCCATGACAAATGCCCCTGAAGCTGCCAGCCCAGATAAACCCTTCTTAAGTTGCTTTTGTCAGGCATTTTGTTGCAGTATGAAAAGAGTAACTAACTAGTCCACACAATGCGCTGGAATGGCTCAGAGCTCGGGGGAACACTGAGCACTTATTACAAAGGCTTTACAAAGGCTTTACAAAGCGCAGGTGAACAGCCAGATGGGAGACGGATGTAGCTCAGGGTAAGGTGATCACCCAGAGTCCCCACACCCTCCACGAACCTCCCTGTGCTCTGCCACCCAGTGACTCACCCAATGAAATCCTTTTGGGATTCTATAAAGGCTTTATTATACTGATGTGGTTGATTGCACCACTGGCTATTGGTCACCAACTCAACTTTCGGCCCCTTTTCCTTCCCTAGGGACTTCCCAAAAGTCCCAACCAATCATGCTTTGGCCTTCCTAGAGACCATTCTCCCTGCCTAGGACCCCTGCAACCTCAGAGTACTTGCTAGCAAACAAAAGGCATTCTGACCACAGCAGAGATTCCAAGGTTGGAGAAGCTTGTCTGGTTAGAACAATGATATACTCTGCAATGTCACACAAATAGACATGCAAAGGCACACAAAAGTATACACAGAGATGCTATATTGAATGTTGCTCAACCGATCGGTAAAGCATTTAAGGAAGGGTGTTGGCAATAACCTACCAGTGATGTCGTTCATATGTTGATATTGAGGAGGAAGCACAACAGAGTTACAGCAGTGCTTTTGATACAGTAAGTGTGGAGACAGCAAGGGGACGGGGAGCATGACTCCATTTGTCTTGGTGGTTTTGCTTTCTTTTTAAAGTAGGCTCTTCATGTATAGCCCAGGCTGGCCTTAAACTAAAGATTCCCATTTGAATTTTGAAGGGACTGTAAATGGGGTTCTTAATTGTTCTAGATAACAAAAAGCCAGAGTCAGATATAGAGGGAAATGCTGAGAGATGAAAGAGAAGGAACAAGCCACAGTACACTTTACTTCCTTAGCGTCTCAGCATACCAGAGTGTGCCTTCCTGTTTCTCCCTGTTTATATCCTGTATCTGTCCAGCTACCTCACTTCCTGTCTGTCTGTACAGACCTCCAGACCTCTATGGTTACTTAATGGCAAACTCCATTCTCTGACCCTCAGACAGGCTTTATTTTTATTTTTTTTTTTGCGGGGGGGCAGTTTCGAGACAGGGTTTCTCTGTGTAGCTTTGGAGCCTATCCTGGCACTCTCTCTGGAGACCAGGCTGGCCTCGAACTCACAGAGATCCGCCTGCCTCTGCCTCCCGAGTGCCGGGATTAAAGGCATGCGTCACCAACGCCCGGCTAACAGGCTTTATTTGTATAAGCAAGATATCACTACAAGGGACCTTACGAATAGGCAGGCTGGTGATAGACAGATGAATAACAGAATACTAAGATAGCAATTTAGGAATGTAGAAATGGAGGACTTACTTCTCATTGGACTTTTTACTGGGAGCATGCCCTCTATAATTAAAACTTATTGAAAATGCCTGTAAAATAAAAATTAAAGGAGTAACATTGATCCCTAACAAGCAGAAAACAAAGAACAAGAAATATAAAGTCTTCCTCAATATGGTTGTCTCCTTGGAGCTAAGAACACACTGCTTGAAGTCCCAGAGGGGAAACTGCCTATCTAAGTTCACTACCCTGAATGTCCCCTAGAGCCTGGCCTCTGATCGGCTTTGGTGAGAATTTGCCCTGATTCCTGCCCAATTACCAAAGTAACTCGGACAGAAGCACTTTTGGGTCTCCTGCAATAGCCAGGCTCAGCAGGTGGCACCTAAGAAGTAGAGATGCCCATGTCCCCTCAATAAAAATCAGGGGTCCTTAAAGCAGAAACTAGAATAGACTTAAGTGGTCCTGTGATGACGATGACGATGATGATGATGATGATGGCTGTTCATAACGGTTATGAAGCCAGTAGTTGCTCGTTCAAGTGCAAAGAATGAACAAATGATACTGACGTCCTAACTGATTGATTCTTGTTCTGGTTTCCAGCCAGCAACCCACTAATGGCCTCTAACGAAGCTTGTATGACAAGAGAGGTGTGGGACAGGCCACCAGTTGATAGAAGGGTATCAACAAAAGAGCTCTTCCTAACTTCCCACCCACACAGGAAATTCTGCTCCTACCAGAACCTGTGGAAACTCAGCCTCCAGTGCCTGCAAGATAAGACCCGAGTTGTGCCAGTCAAAGCTGGTCTACAGAGCTCTCCTTCTCCACCCTGGGGTGCTACTGCACACTGCCCCAACTCTGGATTACTACTTTCCAATTCTGGAGCTCCGAAGAGCTAACTCCAGCACGTTCGGTGTGGAAAGACGAGTGATTACGGCCCTCTTCTGCTATCTACAGCTCAGTATCATCATCTGGAGATTCAAGCGTTGGTTTTGTCCTTTTAGTGCAAGAAAACTCCCAATACCATCCGAGAATCCATACTCAGCATCCCCTGGGTGGCTGGAGAAGGCCCATGATACCCCACGATGGTAGTGGCGGGGCTTGGGGTTGGGGCTCAAGCCTGGTTAACGCTTTGGCTATGGGCAGTGACCACCAAATCTTCCTGTGCTGTATAGGCTTACTACCACTTTATCCTGTATGAGCCACCCAACTGTTTCGCTGGCACTCTTCCAATGTAATGCCCGCCACTATCAAGGTGAGGCCTGGTCCAACTCCATCCCCAAGATGCCTCGTCCACATTTGTCAGGGCCTGGAAATAGACATCCTGGCTCCTTGTCCTATGTCACAGAGGGTCTCTTCCCACAGCCCTGTAGAAGGTCCCAAGTAGGATTCCCTCAGACAGCTAAAGGGCAAGTTCTTTGGACTGTCCCCCAACTGTACTATCCAAACATGGTCAGGTTCAGTTTGCCTTTCGAGGCTCCGTTATCGGTGCCTAGGGCCTAGCCTTCAACTTGAAGCTCCAGAGCCTCAATCTCTGCCTGACCTGAGGAGGTCAAGTCACACAGTCGGGGGTCGCCAGGCCGAGTACGGCTGCGTCCCCACCCCCCACGTACGCACAAACGCGGGGTCGCCGGAACCCTGTGCCCCGCAGCGTTCGATCTCAGGACCGAGACACCCTGGGCTAGGGTCCCCTTGGCTCGCGCGTTGCGCTGTAGCAGCGCCCGCCTTCTGCTTCCCGCCTCCTGCCTCGGTGGCCGCGCAGGGTAGGTAGCTGGGGGGACCGGAAGGATGGCGAGGAAGTCGGAGAGGGTTTCCTGAGATGAGAGATTACTTCCGTCCG